CAGGTAAATGCAAATCTGTTCATCTTTGAGCCAACTTTTTACTGAGGGGAGGAGCAACAACAAACATGGGCCTGACACTGGTGCAGTACAGTACAGTACAGTACTAGAATGGTTCAGTACAGTACTAGAATGGTTCAGTACAGTACAGCACAGTACAATTCAGTACAGTTCAGTTCAGTTCAGTACAGTACAGCACAGTACTAGAACGGTTCAGTACAGTACAGTACTAGAATGGTTCAGTACAGTACTAGAACAATTCAGTACAGTTCAGTTCAAATCAGTACAGTACAGTACTAGAATGGTTCAGTACAGTACAGTACAGTACAGGTTCAGTACAGTACAGTACAGTACTAGAACACATAGTACATAGTACATAATACATAGTACATAAAAGGAGTCTGATGAGTTCCAGCTGCCAAGGTCAGGTGACAGGAAGGACGTCCAGCTGTGACAGAACCTGAGGAAACGCTGAAGATCAGAGGAGTTCCTCCTTTGAACTTTTGTTCCATTCTGATTCTTCAAAGGAGTGATTCCCAGGTGTGGTGGGAACACCACTCCATACCATTCTGTTTCTGATGTAAACACCTTGTGACGTCATCTCCACACGGTTGTAATTGGTCGTTCATTAGAAGGTGTTGATCTTCTGCCTTTGATCTGACGTCAGAAGTGAACATTTGAACTGTTGACACGTCTGAACTTGTTTACTCTTCTTTGTTTGTTTGTTGTTTTCTGCGTTTTTTCACTTTAATGAAAAACAAACATTTTTACTGTTGACATGAAGATGAAGATGAAGATGAAGATGAAACTGGTTTTCTTTTCTAAACTGAAGATAAAATCACAGATAAACGACGAGCAGCACTTACCGCGTCAATACCACGATAAATACAAATAAACAGAACAAAGTCCTCAGTGACGTCAGACAGAAAAGAAATAAAACACGGCGGGAATTTTTATTGTTATGGTTTTATCGCTGAGTCAAAGTCGACACGGAGTTCGTAATAAAACGATATCACGGGATATTGATATGAATCGAAATTCCTTTATTGACTGATGTTCATGGAGTCCTGTGTTAAAGTTCGGTACACACAGTATTCACAGTACACGCAGTATTCACAGCAGTATTCGTGAGTCTAATAATCGGTTCTTTTTTTCTTTTTTTTAAAGGAAAGTCTAAAAAGTGTTTTTTCTCTGCACACCTGCTGAGCAG